ACCGGTTGTGTGACACCACTACGGAGCGTGTGACCCCCAAAATGGGGTGTGCAAACAACCCCCACTCCAGCTGTACAACCCCATCACCAACTGTGTGACCCCCCACCAGCTGTGTGACACCACTGCTGAGTGTGCGACCCCCAAGACAGGTGTATGACACCCCCCCACCTCCGTCACCGGGTGTGCAACCTCCAAGATGGGGGGTGTGACACCCCCTTCCCCTAGCTGTACAACGCTGTCACCGGGTGTGCGACCTCCAAGATGGGGGGTGTGACAGTCCTGCTGGGTGTGTGACCTCCCCACTGGCTGTGCAACACCAGTGCTGGTTGTGCAACACTACTGCAGGGTGTGAGACCTCCCCCTGCATAACCCTATCACCAGCTGTGCAACCACCCCCGCCAGGTGTTTAACCCCACTGCGGGGTGTGCAACCCCCCCCCTCCCTCTGCACAACCCCATCACCAGGTGTGTGACCCTCCCACCAGTTGTGTGACCTCCCCACCGGTTGTGCAACAACCCCTTCCAGCTTCACAACAGCCTCACCAGGTGTGCGACCCCCCCCGCTGGGTGTGCAACCCCCCCCTGCTGGGTGTGCAAGCCCCCTCAATGGGGCGTAGAACCCTCCGACGGGGGGTGCAACCCCCTCTCTCCACCTGCACAACCCCCCCGATGGGGTGTAGACCCCCCCACTGGGGGTGCAGCCCCCCCATCACCCTCTTTCCCCACACCCCTCCCACCGTCACCAGCCACGTGTGTCCCCCCCCTTACCAGGAAGCCCCGATGGTGGGACCCATTGGACGGAGGGGGGGGAAACTGAGGCAGGGGGCACTCCCCCCACCCACCCCGCTGCCCCTCAATTATCCCCAGCCCTTAACGAGCGGCCCCCGATGCCGCCTGGGGCTGGGGGCAGCCCCCGGGGTGGTTGGGGGGGGGGGGTTGGTCCCTGAGGGGGGGGGACCCTTGTACAGCCAGCTCTTTGGCCCGGGGGGGGTTTGAAAGGGGGTGAGGGTTCCCCCCTTATCTCCCGGGGGAATTCCCTCTGTCCAAACAGCCTTCAGCGGGTCCAAGGCTGGGAAAAGGCTCCCAGAGGGATTGCTGCCAGGGGGGGTGTTACCGGGCTTCCAGGCTAAAGACACCGGCACCGTTCCGGGGGGAGCCCCCCCAATGTCTCCTGGGATTGACCCTGCGGGCACCAAGCTGATGAAAAGGGAATAACATGGATCCAACAGTCC